CCACTACAGGTCATGTGTCAATGTTAACATGATTATTGCTCTACAGAGGCTGATGGAGAATACTGGTGTGGTAAACCACTTTCCTATTCCTCTCACACTTTTGGTTCCTCCTAAGATGTTCTGTTTGCCTGATGTTAGTGTTAACCACACGTGCTAAAACACACAACCTCATCTAACACGGTGTGAAACTCAGTCTTCTTGAAGGAGTGCTTTTAAAAACGCTCTGGCCATTAAAAAGTACCTTTAAGTTACACTTACGCTTAAAATGTGATTACATTACCTTGGAAAGTTGCAAAGCAAGTGAATCTGCTCCACCACTGCAGGAGCTTTTCTCAGATCAACTTCACTTTTCTGAGCCTTTTTTTGCAATGACCTTTAAACAGCTAAATCCGGCATCCAGCAAGTGAATTCAGTGTCAAATATGTTTGAGGCGGCTTCAGACTAATACTTTTGGTTAACATCCTTATGGTTAAAATGTAGTTTATCCTCAATTCAGAATAGACTTTCATTATTATAAACAAACTGAAATGAAACATAGTATTAAAAACTTATTTCAGCTAGTTATTAAAACAACTTTTTTTTTTAATTTAAAATAACTAAATCTGAAAATGTATTTAAAAAAATATAGACATTAAAACGAATAAAAATGACAAAAATGCAGAACAAAATTATTAAAACTAACTGAAATTAAAATAAGAATGGACAATAAAACTTTATACTTATTAAGGTCATGCCACAGCATCTCAATATGATTTAAGTCCAGACTTTGACTTGGCCACACCAAAACCTTCATTTAGTTTTTCTTGAGGCATTCAGAGGTGGACTTGCTGGTGTGTTTGGGATCATTGTCCTGCTGGATAAGCCAAGTGTGCTTGAGCTTGAGGTCACATATATATATATTCAGTCATTGACAGGATTTTTTTAGCAGTGGTGGAAAAATCCGAAAGCTTTCTGTCACTTTGACAGATTACACTACACTGAGGGTGAGGGTCACAAACTGATGGCCGGACATTCTCCTTCAGGATTTTCTGATAGAGCACAGAATTCATGGTTCCATCAATCATGGCATTAGGGCAAGTCGTCCAGGTCCTGAAGCTGCAAAGCAGCCCCATTTATAACTGTAATTCCCACCCTGTCCAGTTGGTGGCGAGTGCACTCCAGTGTGGCAGCAGAGCGCGGGATCATCAGCCTCCAGAACAACAATAAACGAGTCTTTTGCTATGCATTTGATTACACACAGGCGAGTATTAGGGATGGGCGATACCTCTTATTTTATTTTCGATCCAATACCGATATTTTCAAGCCCAGTATCGTCAATACCGATACCGATACCTATCAACTAAATTGATCTTTTAAATTATTAAAAGAATATAATCAGTAATTATACTCACTTAATATTAG